AATAAGGAGAAATACTCGAAAACCTTCGAGCAACTCGTCCCCAAGGAATATCATCAACATGCTCATGTCTTCTCCGAAACAGACTCAATAAGGCTTCCTGAACATAGAGCCTGGGATCACGCCATCGACCTAAAATCAGACGCTCCTTCTACGATCCGATCTAAAGTCTACCCAATGAGCCCAGCAGAAAATCAGGAGCTGCAAGCCTTCCTCGACGATGCAATCAAAAAAGGCTACATCATCCCTAGCAAGTCACCCATCGCTTCGCCCGTCTTCTTTATCAAGAAAAAGGATGGCAAGCTCAGGCTTATCCAAGACTACCGCAAGCTCAACGACGCCACCATCCAGAATAGATACCCATTGCCCCTAGCTAATGATATCATCAATAAGCTCCAAGGCGCAAGGATCTTCTCTAAATTCGACGTCCGTTGGGGTTACACCAACGTCAGGATTAAAGCCGGAGATGAATGGAAGGCTGCCTTTGTCACTAACAGAGGACTCTTCGAACCACGAGTCATGTACTTTGGATTGACCAACGCGCCGGCAACCTTCCAAGCCCTCATGGATACAATCTTCGCAGACCTCATTGCCGAAGGAAAAGTCGCAGTTTACCTGGACAATATCCTCATCTGGTCCTCAGACCTCGCTTCACACCGAAAAATTGTACACGAAGTACTAGAACGTCTCAAAGAATACGACCTCTACCTACGTCCAGAGAAGTGTGAATTCGAGAAAGACCAAATCGAGTACCTCGGCCTACTCATCAGCGAAGGATCGGTCAGCATGGACCCAGGAAAAGTAAAGGCAGTCACAGAATGGCCCACACCCGCGAACCTGAAAGATGTTAGAGGTTTCGTCGGGTTTGCCAACTTCTACCGCCGGTTTATTCAGGATTTCTCTAAGATAGCCCGCCCGCTGCACGACCTCACAAAGAAAGACGTTCCTTTCATGTGGGGCTCTGCACAGCAACAGGCTTTCGATACACTGAAGTCCAAGTTTACTACTGAACCAGTCCTCGCCCTCTGGCACGCCGATCGAGATACACGCGTACAAGTCGATGCTTCCGGCTACGCTACTGGGGGAGAAATCAGTCAGCTAGATCCGAACGACGCCCTATGGCATCCAATCGCCTTCCGATCACAGACCATGAACGCTGCAGAACGTAATTACGAAATCTACGACCGCGAACTCATGGCCATAATCGAAGCTCTAAGAGATTGGCGTCACTTCCTAGAAGGACTACCCAAACCATTCAAAATCTGGACCGACCACGCTAACCTCCAATACTGGCGTACAGCACAACGACTTACACGAAGACAAGCTCAATGGGCTCTTGAGCTAGCCGACTACGACTTCGTGCTGACTCATAAGCCTGGCAAAACACATCTCGTCGCAGATCCACTTTCCTGCCCCAGCTCTCAGTACATCTCTGACGACATGGATAACCAAATGCAAGTGGTCCTGCCCGACAACTGATTTGTTAGTGCTACACACTGCTCGGAACTAGGTCCGGCACACTTCGCAAAACTAGCCGCCACAGCCTTCATTACAAGCTCACCACTGGAAAAAGAAGTTCGCGATGTAACCTCGCTAGACGATGAGGTTTCCACCGCACTCTCCAGCCTTCGAGTAAAAGGGCCTCGCAAACTAGTCAACGGATTAACTGAATGGGAGGAAAACGACAGACTCATCTACTACAAGGGCAAGCTCTACATACCGAATGACATCACCCTCCGTAATAAAATCATCGAGTCTTGTCACGACACCCCCACGGCTGGACACCCAGGAAAGCACGGGACAATTGAATTGGTCTCCCGCTATTACTGGTGGCCAGGAATGAACTCCGCCATAGCACGATATGTGGCTGGCTGCGATAAATGCCAGAGGTACAAAGGAGCCAAACACCCCAAATCAACCCTCAAACCGCAAGAAGTTCCTGACGGACCTTGGCAACACGTAGGAGTTGATATGGTGGGCCCTCTTCCTCAAACAAAGTCCCCAGGGAAATACGACGCTGTCACCGTCTACGTCGATCACTACAGCGATCAAGTACATCTCGTGCCCTGCCGCACTACTCTCACGGCGGAAGGAGCATCTGAAATACACTTCCGCGAAGTATTCAGACACCATGGTCTTCCACGCAAGATCTTCTCTGATCGAGGACCACAATACGCAGCCCGCTTCATGCGAAGTTTATACAAACGACTCGGTATAGAGTCGGGTTTAACCACAGCCTACCATCCAGAAGGAAACGGCAAAGTCGAACGAAAGAACGCCGAGGTGTCTAAATTCCTCAGACTATTCTGTTCACAACGCCAAGACGACTGGGATGAATGGCTCCCAATGGCAGAATTTGTACTCAACTCACGAGTACACGCTGGAAACGAGCACTCTCCCTTCGAAGTACTCTACGGATACAGGCCCGACTTCACTGTCCCAGCAGGGAAACATTCCAATATCCCAGCGCTGAACGACAGACTCGACAGCATGGCCAAAATCCGTAAAGAAGCAGAAGCAGCCCTCCGCCAGACTAAAGAAAAAATGAAGGCCGACTACGAAGCTCGTAAAAGATTGCCTCACTCTTTCAAAGTCGGAGACAAAGTCTGGTTATCTTCGAAAGATGTCTCAATTCACCAGCAAACTCGTAAACTCGGACCCAGACAGCTAGGGCCATTTACAATCACCGAAGTTATCGGAGAACTTAACTATCGCCTCGAACTACCCAACTGGCTCAAGGTTCACCCTGTCTTCCATGTCGACAGGCTAAGCCCGTATCACGACAATGGAATGAACAAACCTACACCTCCCCCACCAGTAGTAGTCAACAACGAGGAAGAATACAAAGTCGAAAAGATTCTGGACTCACGCGTCTACCACAGACAGCTCCAGTACCTTATCAGATGGAAAGGATACGGACAAGGCGCCGATGAATGGATTCCTGCTAAAGACGTACATGCCAAAGAACGCATACGTGACTTTCATAAGCAAAATCCCTCGGCACCACGACAGATCTCCACCACCTCCTTCAGCGAACTCCACAGTTGCTTCAAGCCTATCTACGAACACACCGACCCCAGCTCTACTCTCGCCACCAATCCAAAAGCGGCAGAGTTCGAGTGGAAAACAGGCAGAATACAGGCTATATCTTCTTGCCAGGAGTCTCGATTGTAGGGGGGGGTAATGTCGTGGGCGTAGCCCCGGCCTCCTATTTTATTTCCATTTTCTCCGATTTATTCCATGTTTATACGACCCTCCAAACGTCCTCGGTGCATTAGCGCCGGTTTACAAGTCCTAGCCGCGCGCTAACACCTTGAAACGCATCACCAACGGGCACGCATCAAACGCATCAGACGCACCTGCATCGCCGCCGCCTCGTCCCGCATCACGCTTCCTCGGTAACAGCCGCACTCCGATCTCCATCGGACATCCAATCCCCGTCGGCCCGACAACGTCATACGCCATGACACACCGGCCCCCGTCTATCTCCGAGTCCGATCGGCAACGGACATCCTATCCCCGTCGGCCCGACAACGTCATCAGATATGACACGCCGGCCCTCGCTTCTCCGCCAAAGTCCCCTAGACACTAGCAGCCGCCGTAGCAACAGTTGCTTATGTAACGCCTGGTCCGTGCGCAGCCTGACTAGTATATAAGAATCCTCTTCGTCGCTACCTAGCCCCATCTCAACCTCTTGGTTTATTGGGCTAGGTAAGCCTTTGTCTATACATTAGAATAGTAACTAATACACTTGGTTTATTGGGCTAGCTGAATAAGCTAACGCACAGTCGCCAGACCTCGTCGGCGCCACCTTTTGATTAGATCCACCGAGTATCCCTCGTGGTGTGTTGACGCAAGTCCACATCACCAAAGTAGTGTGCTACCGATGCAACCGCACTGGGCACTATGCCTCAGACACTGAGTGTTCAATAGCTAACAAACAGTCCCTAAGATACCTCAATGTTGTGAACAAAGGCGATGAGGAAGCAGACCAGGCTACTGGCTCTCTTCCTCATAATGAACAAGACAACGGTGAAGGAAGGGACGAGAACGCTAAAGTGTCAGACGGAGGACACCTGGAAGCAGGTGCCTCTCCTGACTATGCTTCAAATAGTGGACGCTCATCCAGAGTAATAGGTTTGCAATATAAGTCTGAATCAGAGGAGAATATACCTTCCTCCAAGTCCGAATCTGTATACAAGTTCAATGCAATAAACATTGCAGACTGGCAGCAATCTACACCTGACGATGGTGCCAGACCTTTTGAGCAGCCGACAGTCGTGCTCAATAATGAACCGGTTAGCACGCAGGATCCAGAGGCTATGATTAGTCTGGATTCTCCTACACTACCCGCCAACATGGTGGATCCTGACACCCCGTCCCATGTAATGTTTAACCAGGCAATAAACACGGCTAGTTATACATCTATTCACTGGAACAAAGAGCAGAATGAGATTATGGGGACGGTCAACCTGAAAGATGTGCTGGCCTTTTCAGACCTTATGTCCCATGACCAATTTGTTGAGCATATTCGACACCATCTCAAGAGAACCAATGCTACTCTTGGTTCTCTTGTAAGCAACATTAAGGCTGAGTGAGTGAGGGCATCGCGTTGACAGCGTGACGCCCTGCATCGAGCCTCTGAAACAATGGCCGAACTTCAGCTCGGGAAGCCTACGCTCTTTGACATCCAGTTCGTTCAAATGTTCACAGATGTACCTCTTGATCAGACTGAGCGAGACAAGCTGGAGGGCATGAGGAATAGTTATCACAACCTCATGCTGTGTGCCGATGCACTGTATGTATTGTTCGAGAATTATTATCTTAACAATATGGTACTTAGAGAGAAAGCGCAAACTCTAGTTCGCGCTATTGACATGCATATTCCAGATAACTCTGTGAGCTTAGTTATTGAGCATTTTAATATGCACAATAATCATTGCCACAATGTAACCCGTTGTATACACAGCAGGGCCACTGCACAGTGTCTGGAAGGATGTAGCATGGCCAGGCTATTTGATCCTAAGTGGGCAGTCTCCACAATTGCAGAGAGTCGAGACCTCATCGAGCGCACGTGCTACAAGGAGATTATTGAAGACCTCCCTGAGCCTGCCCCTCTTCTGAAACTGTACGAGTTCCCTAATGACAAGTACTACAATGAAGGCGAGAGTGACCATATGTTCTGTGCAATAACTGAGACCTTTGGTTATCACTCGTCCATGAAGGCCACACCAACAGCTCAGGAGCGCCCGGCAGCGCAAGAGAAGACGATGAGGGTGTACCTCAAGATTAATTACCTCAAGGCGTACGTTCTTATTGACACCGGCAGCACGATCAACACTGTAAGCCCCGACTTTGCTAAAGTCGCAGGACTTAGCCTTTCCCGTTGTCAAACCCTATCACCCTACAACTGGGTTGTTCAGGTTCACAGTCGAAGGTTAACTACGGCGTGTGGCTGCCCATATCTATTGATCCCACCGTGCACAACTTTTACTTCAACGTTGCGTCTCTAGATCACTATGATCTGATTATAGGGATCCAAATCATGCAGGACATTGGGATAGTCCTGAACTTTTGCGACTACATCATTTGCATAGGCCCCACCACCCTACATGTGCTTGAAAGAGAAGGAGATGGGCCTACCAAATGACAACTCAATGGAACTGCTTTCTGGGTGACAGACAGGCACAACGCCATCCGACTGCCTTGTTGTCACAAACGAACTTGGAGATGGTTGCTATCAAGACTGTCGACAATTGGGAACTGGCAAACAGTCCACAATCGGAGCAACACTGACTCAACAGCGCGAGCCCTAAGGGACTCGCAATGGCTGCGTACGACAAGGACAACTGTACTCTGTCTACGGCCAAGTCCATGGTCACGGAAACTACGAACTTTGCCAAAGCACGCTATGTCCCAACGGCCAAGCATGCTTCAGTGAAAGAAAAGAAAAAAGCAAGAATAACTGAGCCTGAGGATGGGATCACCATGCCTAAGACCCAGGGAGCATATATTCTCCCTCGAGAGGAGATTATCTCTCTCCTTAATAATACAGACTTGGACGCTAAGCGGCGCAAGTGGTTTGAAGAGTTCAAGAACATTATGAGTGGTGTCCCTGAAGTTCTCCCACCCATGCGTGAGATAAATCATTGTATACTGTTGATAGATGATCATCTCAAGATAACTTACCATTTGCCTAGATATGCAGAGGCTCTAAAGCCTCTGCTGAAGGTAAAGATCATCTGGTATATCAATGCTAGATGGTGGAAATACAGAGCGGTGCCACAGACGGCTCCCATGTTGTCAATCCCCAAGAGAAATAGCAACATCCATACAGTTGTCGACTGCAGGAAGCGGAATAACAACACTATAAAAGATGTCACATCGTTTCCTAACTAAGGGCAGATCAGACTAAACGTTGCAAGGGCTCTAGTCCGATCCAAGCTAGATTTGTCTGACACATATGAACAGATTTGCATAGAACCCAACAATGTTCATAAGATGGCCTTTTCAACAATATAAGGCACCATGGTTAGCCAGGTGATGCAACAAGGGGACTGCAACGCCCCTTTAATGTTTCAAAGATTAATGACTCACATATTTCATCAATATATTGGGATATTCGTCCATCCATACATGGATGATATCTTTCTGTTCTCGGACACAATTGAGGAACACGAGGTGCATCTTAAGATCATACTTACTCTGCTGAGGAACAATCACTTGTTCTTCAAGGCCAAAAAGTGCGAGCTATTCTCGCGCAATATGGACTGCCTGGGTCATCATATAAATGACCAAGGCCTACATGCTGACTCAGATAAGATGGCTAGGATCTGAGAATGGCGTACACCAAGAGACTACCTTGACATACAATAATTTCTCGGCCTAGTGCAATATCTGGCGCATTTCATGCCAGACGTCTCTGCTTATACAGGTCCTCTTTCCGCCATGGTCAAGAACAGACACTTGTTCTTCTGGTGCCCCATCCACCAGAGGTGTTTCAACACCATCAAGTGGATGGCGTGCAAGGCTCCAATCCTCAAATCCTCAAGCCGATTGACTCGCATTGAGACAAAACCATATGGGTGATCTGTGATGCGTTAGTAAGTGGCGTAGGAGTCTACTACAGACAAGGCCCCAAATGGGATACCTGTTGTCCAGCTGTTTTTATGTCCAAGAAGTTTACATCTGCACAACACTCTTACAAGATCTACGAGTTAGAGCTACTAGCAATACTCGAGGCTCTGCTCAAATGAGAGGACAAACTTCTCAGACAAAGATTCCACATTATTACGGACCACGAGGCCCTGCAGTTCATTAAGCACCAACCAACATCCCACATGTCTTATCAACAGCTGCGTTGGATGGAGTATTTGTCCTGCTTCAAGTACGACATCTCGCATGAAGCAGGCGCACACAATATTGTGTCCAACTACTTCTCAACGTACTACTCTAACGACAAGCCCGACGAGGTACATCCATACAATGATTATGTCAATGCAGATGTACGTCTAGATCAGAATGGAGAAGATCTCCCTCTCGGCCGATTTAAGGAGTACGAGAACATGCAGATAGGCCTGGGTGTCTCCAACTAGCCCCTGCCTGAGCGCAAACTTATTTCGAACAAAGAACTTAATGCTATTCACTTGACGAAATGCAAGAAAACTAATACCACTGCTCAGCAAGAGCTTGATAATAAAGATCCCATCACTCTTGCTCCTTCCGACACCATCGAGCCTCTGCAAAGCAGAGTTGAAGGCAACACCTCATTTTTTGATCGAGTGAAGGCCAGATATAAGGACGATTCTACGTTCAGTAAAATCATCCTAAAGTGCGAGAAGTTTGCCAACTTTGAGCTCAGAGATGGCCTTCTTTATACAAAGAACCGTCTTGGAGATTCAGTACTTTGCATCCCTCGTGTCAAGCTCGACAAGCGCACTCTACCACAGATGATAATTGACCATGCTCATACCATGCTCGGTCACTTTGGATTCAGAAAGACAGATCAGTATATTCGTCAGTGGTACAGATGGCCTACACTAGCCAAAGACACTGACAGGTTCTGTACATCCTGCGGAACTTGCCAGACATCGAAACCTAGTAACCAGGCTCCTGCAGGACTTCTACACAGCCTACCTATCCCAACTAGGCCATGGGGCTCTATAGCCATGGACTTCGTCGGCCCGTTCCCGAAGTCGGAAGACTTCGATTACCTATGGGTAATCATCTGTTGGCTCACCTCTATGGTGCACTTGACATTGATCCAGACGACCATTAGAGCATCCGGATTAGCTTGGCTATTCATCAAGGAGATAGTACGTCTCCATGGGCTTCCTGACGAATTGGTGTCCAATAGGGACTTAAAGTTCACCTCCAAATTCTGGCGAGAAGCTCACCAAATTCTTGGTATCAAGCCTTCTAATGTTCAAGGCCTTCCACCCTCAGACAAATTGCGCAACAGAACAAGCAAATTGTTCAGTTACACAAATCCTTAGGGGAGTTGTCCTACCTGACCAGTCTGATTGAGTCAAGCATATACCGATGGTTGAGTTTGTGATAAAACTCAAGCATCAGTAAGTTGACCGGGTTCGCTCCTTTCAAGCTAAACTCAGGAAGCCTCTCCCGGATGCTTAGAGTCTTGCCTAAAGACACAAGCAACTCACCACCAGGCGTGCTGCAGTTCACTTGCCAAGTGTTGGACCATCTTCTCAAGGCCCATGATGCAATCATTGACAGTCGCATGCATCAGACTTACCATGCCAATCAGCATCGCCGAGACAAGGACTTGCACCACGGTAAGCAAGACCCCCTGAAAGCAGGTGATCTTGTGTACATATCTACGGAGAACCTATCTCTTCTGCCAAATCACACATAGAAGCTAGTTCCGCAGTTCATTGGTCCCTACAAAATTCTGGATGGAGACTCCAGAACGTCGTCCTACACCCTGAAACTCTTCGAGGACTTAGTGAAATGGAGGATACATCCCAAATTTCATATATCATTATTGAGAAGGCACGAACTGAATGACAGTAATCTATTTCCACACCAGGATACGCAGGTGTTTTATGACATGGGCACTCCAGAGAATGTGGAATACCTGGTAGACGAGATAGCTGGCCATGAATAGGATGGGGATACCATTCAATTCAAGGTTAAATGGAATATCAGAGAGAGCCTCAAATCCATTGAGTTTGTCAATGAGCTTGAGGCGTTAGACAGATATCTCAACCTGTGCGGGATCTCTAATTGGGTGAAACTGCCTTAGGGTCGGAACGCCCGTCCAGTGCCCCAAAGAGCGCCCAAGTGCTCCGGGCAATGAAAGGGCTAATCCCTCAGATCAGAGCCTCACGTGGCATCCTCATTCCTGAGCGAGGCACCCTACAATTTTGCTTGCTCGAGTTCCCCACTTTCATCTCAACTCTCTCCCTCTTCCCACGATGAGAACACCTGCAAGATACGCAAGTGTTCTTGACATCATATATTAACTGCAAATAATCTCAACTGACCAAATGGCTGAAAAAGAAGACTTTCCCATGGGAGGTGAGCAGGAACATGACTAATTGCGCTATGGTCAAACCTCTGGTCACCTCGACACCGATGAGCAGTTAGTGAACAAGGCCTCAGTAGCTTTCAACTCCAGGAAGCATTGCCGGGGTCAAGACCCTAACAGTGACCTTCACAGAATCTGTGACCCGCAGACTGGTGTTATTCAACACTCTGTGGGATGCGCACAATGTGATGATTTCATGTGTCACCAGCAACTCGGCGGGGTGGACCCGAGCTTTTGAGAGGCTGTCGCGGTGCAGCTAGACCGCATGCATGGCGTGAACAATCCTCCTGTGCGACAGCAGGAAGATCATTCAGGGCAAGAAGACCGGCTGCGCCGAGAGTGCAACGAAGCCCAGGGAGCCAGCAGGAAAGTTGAGAAGGACAATTCTCAACTCTTCTCTTCTCTGCACAAGGCTTGCGAAACCAAAAGCTGGTTTTGCGAGCAGATAAGGACACTCAAATCCATTCTTCGAGAGGTCTGAGAGGAGAAGGCTGAATCTGACAACATGCTTCAGCATATTAGCCGAGAAGCAGTTGATCTGGAGAATGTCCTCTGCCACCACAAGATTTCTCTGCCCACCTCTCGGGCACATTCACTGCCTGTGTCTTCTTCCCAAACGCTTGCGAACTAAGTGCCTCTATTCACACCGCTTGGTGCGCCGGGGCCACCTTTAGATCACGCGTGTTCCTACGTGCCACAGGTGATGGAGCTCGACTATGGCAATCCAGAGTCATCATCATCTGCCAAAGGCAATGATGCTCGACAAGGCCTGGCGGCAGAAAAGTGGTCTGCTGGAAAGTTTGGTCCCTACCCAATAAAAATGGGAAGGCCCACAATCGAAGGGTCGGGATACAGCACCGATGAATTCAATGAATTTGATCCTAAGCCCACTGAATCTGAGCCAGAGGATGCCACTCCAGTGCAAAAAAACCTTTGGCGAGCTCACAATCTCAAAAGGAGGAAGTGCAACGATCAGCGAGCTGCCATCTTGACGAAGCCTCTTGCGATTACCTTTTGGAAGCAGGGCATGAACCACGCCAAATAAGCCCTAAATGTCATTAAGAGGTACAAAGGGGAGTACTCCGCTATCCGGAATCCTCTCCATTGGAACAATCGCAAGGGTCACAACTGGATGAGGTGGGGCTATTATGCCAACCACCACATCAAGTACCTCGACAAGCAGCAAAAGCTCCATGAGCATGGCGGGGTTCCTGCAGGGATATCCATTCCACCATGGAACAACCGGTCTGTGCCACTGTTCATTCCGCCTGTCTGGCTGCACACAAATTGCCCAGATTCTGATGCGCACCCTGTTCTCGCACTGCCAGCTCCTGCTGCTGCTTCAGTCTCTGCTGATGTGCCGCCAGCCCCAGCTCACATGCGTGGAACCTTGTTTCAACATGCCCCCGTGTCTGCTCACTCTGAACCCAATCTGCCCAGGCCCCTGCAGCCACTGAATCTGGGTTTCAGGGTGGGTGTTGATTCTCCAAGAGGGAGGAGCGGAGGAGTATCAAATGTGCATAGCGCACTACGGCCCATACCCACACCACACTCAGACCATGAGCCAGGGCTCGACTTCCTCCACAATGACCTTATGAGCACAGAGAAAATCACATCTTTCAATCAACTTTGCTTTTCGCGTAACGTGGCCGAAGTTGATTGCCTCTGCGCGGAAGCCAATCGATGGCCACAACTTCTAGCCTGCGACTTCTGGGGAGCTTGATTGCACATGTGCAATAAAGGCCATGCGCTCAAGCAACATACTCTCAGTATCGATTGGCAGAAGCCGTCATGGTACAAAGAGGCAAAGCGCGAAAAGCACGAGGCTCTGCTAAGGCAGAAGTGTGAGCAAAACCAAGCTCAGGCTGTAGCTACCGAAGGCTCAGGCGAGAATACTCTGACAGGCACTACCGATGCCATCGTCGATGAGAACACAAAGATGGATGATTCCGAAAATATTCAGAACCATCCTCAAGAGCCCAACCTGAGTGACCATGTTCCGGAAGAAGACGTGCCTATGACTGGAGAAAACGCGCCCCAAGAGTCGATGCGTTCTTCAACCACTGGCTCATATGCTTCCTTCACAGAGCCCCCCGTATTCAGCATTCACGAAGTCGAACAGTAGAGACTGTTCCTTCACGAGCACCCGAAATACCACCTTCCAGAGGTACCCCACAGCAAAGAAAGTGAGCCATCGCTCATACACCTTCGCGGGCTGTTGCAGGTGGCCGAACTGAGTCCAATGAATGACTCCACCGAGTTGGCCATGCAATGGCTTGACTTGGTCATCTCTGCTCAGCGCAGCACTCATGTTGTGTTGAGAATCAGAGCTATCTCGGAAACTACTGCATTTCTGGTAGGCTCTGAGATGACACTGTCCACCGTAGAGGAATTCTTTGGTACCCTAACCACTGCATTTCCTTCGGGCCAAGTGCAGGCTGTGGATGACATCCATGCCTGGATGACAGGGATAGACCTGGAGACTTTATTGTCTTTAGGTCCTTCTATATCCTCCTCGTCAATTGCTGGCCAAGTATTGGACAGTAATCTAGAGCTCATTGAATATGAGGATAACGCTGCAGATCCATTGAGCGTCTCTTGACCTCACTCGATTACGTCCAAAGACGAAGCCACAGAGTCACTGAGCATCCCTCGTCCCCACACAAGTGCGCTCTAGTCTTGTTTTCGTCTTTGTCAGCCCGGCGACTTCGACTTGTGGGGGCAGGTGTAAGGCGCGCGACTTAGCGCCCATTTACCGGAGACACCTTCCTTTTTTGTAACTTGGTGCTCTTGCTGATTGGAAACACGTCCTCCTTGTGCTCCCTCATGTATTTGTTATTGGGTAGCATTCCAGCCTGATATAAGGTCGGGATGTCCCTTGGTTTTGGGCTCAGACTTTACTTTTACCCCACTGTTGTAGCTACTCTTCGCGAATACAATGCGGTTTGGCTCTTGCAGGGTGATTCCTAAGTCTATGACCTTACAGGTCTTACAGCGACATCACTTCTACCTTGAGATTACAACCTTGCTGGGGTGTGTTTTATCCATGCGGCTGTTGCTGCCATTCTTGGCTGATTCTGGAACAAAAAGTGGAGAGCCAGGCGAGTGGATTAAACACATAGCGACATGCCTGATCTTTCGTTCTGTGGGAATACTATAGAATGAAACAAGTACTGATACTCATGTAGTGTACTTTACCACCTCTCATTGACAGGCAGAATTGTACTTTACTCCTTGAACAATCACAACTTTCTACCCATGACGAATGTAAGCTGAGCTCTTGCAACCCTGTTTCGTGACCATGACTTTTGCTCGCACGACGATACCTCTTTCGATGATTCATGCTCATAGGCTACACATTCTGTGCAATGTGTGGACACTCAAATTTGTAACTCTGCTGCTTGCTTCGCCTGCAGGCATTATCATCTGGGGCGCGATACCGTTCTCATTGTAGGTGTCCTCTCATACAGCAGTGCCAGCACCATGAGCTGCTAGTCAAGCGAGTTTCTGTGCTGCGTACCACCCTGAGTGTATCTCTCTGTCATCTCGACTCCTTCTGTCTCCCAAGCATGCCTTGTGAACAGGTGATGGGCCATCTCTTGTTATCACACAATTTTCAGGTGCAATAATAATGACAGTTGAGAGAAAGTGTGAGAGAAAAAAGGCTAACAAAAGCAATGTCCTCTTGTGCGAGAAAGTAGTCGATGTAGATTGGCAATGAATAACATAAGGCGGAGCCACGCTATGACCAGAAGCTCACCCTCCATATCATTGCGGGGCTCACAGCATACCCCTGGGGTACAATAGCGAGCTTTCACACTTTCTCTACCAGGAACAGCACCAATGACTTGTCTGTCAGCATTCCGTCAGCACATCTCATCAGGAGAAGGTGCCCACAAATGCATTGTGCATGGTTATTATCTGTTCATTCATCTCCTGTATGTTTGCCAGCATCCCACGGTCACACACAATGATGGCAGCGACAATGTCCATCACTGGCCGCACCAGGTTCTGTCTGCCGCATTGGCGCGTGCTGTTGTCAAACAGTGTGAGGTGCAAGTGCATCCTACTATCTCCATCAACCGCATCATTCTAGCTGGAGCACATGTGAGAATGCACCGGTACCTCATAAGCTGCTCATCCTCGCCTTCGACCTAGTACATGCTCTACGACTGTGTGGAAACGACCATCCTAGATGATATGGCACTACTGCATGCAGATAAAGTAACTGGTGACTGGTGACCTAGGGGCCGGAGACGATAGCAAACGAGGGCCGGGGCAGGCTGCGAGGGGGCTTGGATCCCATCTGTCCGCTTATACTGCATTGGTACTCTATATTGTCTCTCATAGCTACTCTGCTCTTCCAAAATACATGTCTGGCCGGCTTCGAGCCTGACCTACGTCAGCATGCACAAGTGCTTTTCGGCACAATCGACATCATCCTTCATAGTCAAGTACAGGTACAGAAGGTGCAGATTGGTAATGAACTTGATGCCAGATCAGTGGCCAGGCAGAGTAGTGCCCATGCGAGGATGTCAGACGCAGAATGTAGCATGAATTAGCTCAAGTGTCGCAAGTTGTTGTGCGACCTATGCGAATGGAGATGAGTTGTCGCCACAGGAATTTTGTTAGACACCAAGATGCATCTGCCTACAAGCTCCTTGTTTGGTCAAATGTAGACCCTTCTGCTGAGGCTTTCAGGGCGCCATGCCCGATCTCGACCAACGTTGCCTAGGGTGGCTGGACTATAGTTAGAGTAAGGAGCACCATAATCTAGATGACAGAGATTTTTCATCAGGATGCGGACACAGGACCAAAAAAACTGTAGCTCACACTGTATACATGCTGCTGGGTTGGTGTCTGGGGGCCAACACACAAGAACGCACAAGTCGTCAATGCAGTTGTTGACGGTGTCCGGGACAATGGCGTGGACCACATTGGGTGAGGTGCGTATCTGAGACATTTGGCAAGGCGCAATACAGGATGAAGATGAGTATAGCAGGCACCAGGTGAACAAAGGCTGCGCACAGATATGTAGCTTTAATGAACGTGCCCCGCTAGCAATAGTTACCGTCCAGCCAGGGAAAGGAACCGTTGTGGATTATCATTTGTGCCAAAGGACGAGCAAATCGAATACAGCAGAGTTATTGCAGTGCACGATCAGTATTGCATTGTACAGGCTGTCATGAGGTTGTCGCAGGGCCAGTGGTTTACCATCTATGGTCACAATTTGAATACACACAAAAAGATGTGTTGCCAGAGAGGCCACCATAAGGAGCATTAGTCAGTGACTTTGAGGGGTGATAATGTTGCTTGTGCTTCGACCATGGTGTGGAATACGGAAGCTGAAAGTGTTCTGTATAGGATAGCACGAGTTGTGGATAAGCATCACAGCGGCCAAGTGACAAAAGAGTTAATTTGCCCACCATGATCAGGCTCTTATAAATGCCTGTGGAGGGCTATGGCCGATGTATAGCGAAAGAGGGGAGTGGTCGTAATGCTTCCATCCTTGAGGGAGAACGAGCAGGTCTGGCCACTGCAGCAAGTGAATCCAATTATTTTAAGTGGAAAATACCATGCATAACTCAATGTGGATACCATGTCTAATCATGGGAAAATCCACTGATTTTTCTCCCTGGAAATCCCACTGGATATAACATTATCCCACTGGCGTTTCAGTGGGTCGCCCACCGATCCAGTAAGTGGGTATTTCACTGGTGGCATCAACATCCACTCATTTTTGGTGGAATCACCCATGATAAACTGGTGGTTGCACCCACTGAGATCTCGAGGGCCTCACCACGGTCCCACTGATTTTCAGTGTGCTACCCACTAGAATATATTGGCAATTTACACTGATACTCTGTGCGTCTCCCAAGAAGTCCCACTGATCCCTACTGGCATGTTCCATTACCTCGCAATGGGGATCCCACATGATAAGAGCCACCACACAAATCAATTAGCACGAATACCATACATCTACCTTATATTACTGCACGAACGGTATACTATCAAAGCCTAATGCGCTGTATGACATGTTAATTGGGTAATCACAGTCAGTATACTGAGAGCTCACCGAGTCCTGCTCCACATTCACGCAGCGGCGGTTGTATCTAACAATGACATTGAGTGTCTTCAACTTGTGTGGGATACGCCAATCTGCAATGAATGCAAGGTTGTCACAGTGCAGCAGCACCTCGGAGAGCTGATCTACGCATAGAAATGTATGTGCTCGATCGCGCACCGACAATGTGCAGATGTTCAAGCTTGCAGACGACGGCTTCCTCGATGATGACAGAGTGCATGTATCCGCAGGTGTACCATCCCACATGACACAGTACACCTTGAGTACGTGCAATGTAGGACATGTCCTCATGAACACAAACAACACACAGCCATGGTGCATGAATGCAATCTGCAATGCATATACATGGAGGAATATTAGCACAGTCACTGAGATGATATGTAAGTACAGACCTGTGAGCCATGCTCACGGCCAGTTGAGGAAGCTCAGGCCATAGGGTGACAGTATCAAGTATGAGATCGTAGTGTCGATGGTGAGGCATGCCCACAGGCCAGCGAAAGCACTCCCATCGTTGGCCTCAAATGGCCAGCTTCAGGCAGAACACTGCGCTGTCCTTATTGTCAGACTCATCTTTATTACAATGACGGATCAGACCGAGGACGCACCATATACCAGCAGCTGTGATCTAAGCACTAGAATGACACGGCAGGCACTTCGTTGACAGTGTGCCAGATGAGCATCGCACTCATGCCTACTGCGTGAGGCCTTCGACCTTCACCTTCGAGCAATCCTTCATAAGCGTTGTAAGAACCTTCGTGGGGATGCCGTAACCGATAATGGCTCCAAGGAAGCGACTGTCCAGAGTGTCGTTAAGAATACTGGCTTTAGATGTGGCAAGAAAGGAGAAGACAAACATCTACCATATAGGTTAGCCCTGGAGGTTTTTCCAGGGCATTATATTTTGTGGTATCATCTATTATCCTTGTTACACCAACAGATTATACTGAGGGGCCGCTGAAAACTGACAGCTGTGCGACAGCGTGCTGAGAAAGAGACATCATACTCACACCTTATTACCGCATGAGGCCTCCAGTCTCTACCTTTGGGGTATCCTTCATAGACATCGTGAAGACCTTTATCTTCGTGAAGATACTGCTATGCACAAAGTTATCACAGGGTCAAGGGTGGAGTGTGTGCAGCGTGGTGTTGTAAGCAGCCATGTGTCATACTTGTGCACCAAGGAGACCTTGCGCTGCGAAGGGAAACCTAGATACTTTGCAGGTGGCATATGGTAAGTGACGGTCGGTTTACAAGAGAAACAGCGACATACCAAGTTCTGGCTGCTTTTCCGCAACCTCAAGTACTGCACCGCGCCACTTCTCATGACTCCCTGCCAGTCCAACTCAGTATGACGCATGACAGAGCCTTTTGGTAGGTGCAAAGATATCAAATGCAGCAAGTTGAAGCGAAATCAAGCGCATATAGTCAGGTTGTATGCGCTTTTCTGTGGCACGACCTTACTCACCAAGTATGTGGGTTATGTCCCGCATACTTCAGCTGATCTTGGTCATCATTGTCTTAGATATAAAACAGCCAAGAAAAGTACTGCTATGCATCCGAAACATCGGTGCCAGGTGGCTGTTGGTTGAGCAAAGAGATTGACATGCTTTGTCGCGAGCCGACGTTTGCGGCGGAGTTCCTCTGTACCATCATCGGAGTTTGGATTTTACAAGCCAAATCAAGTTGTGGAGAATCCGTGCGCACTGAGCGCGTCCTGCCTAACAGCATCGGGTATGTAGTACAACATGTCACGGTGTATGTGTACACCGTCACCGACACAAACCTTTGAAGCAAGACGTGGCTCATAGCCATTATCACCGCACTGCACTCCAGCCCAGCGCAAGAATACAGTGAGCACACGCTTGTACCGCCATCTGATGAACGTGAGCTGGGGCTCTGTGAGGGCACAAGCACACTGACATACGAGACCCCGACTGAGAGCCTCATAATGCGTCAGCTCATCTTCATGGGCATAGTCATGTCTGTACTCCATCTCGGTATACTGTACATGAGATGCAGCCTTCAGCCTCTGCTTGGAGCTGACAAAGAGAGTGGCATGCGGAGCCATGGCTCCTTCTGTATCATCAGCGCATCTGTGTGCACCATGATGTGCTTTCTTTGTTCCCCGTCTTAAAAGTCGACATAGCTTGTGGGATAGGCAGCGGTGATTCTAAGTGTGTCGATGACATTATCTCTCGTGCTCCCTGGGCTTGAATAATGAGTGTTCAAAACAGATTCAACATCTACCGCGGCGCGAGGTAGAACGTAACATGGACTATCTCCCCGTCACTTAGCTGCACCCCGCAAGACAGTGAGCCGCCAGTTAATGTTTGTGCACTGTTGTAAGCACTTGAGCTTGAAGTGCTGGATTCCCGTTCAATGACGGGCAAGTGTCGCTTGAAAGTGGTAACATTATGATCATACTGAAGTAAGGTATACATCTGTATAACTCGCTTGTTTGAATCTACTGTACAGATTTGACCAACTGTTCATGCCTTGTAACCCGTGACACTTAAATTCAGTCGAGTTCACAGTTTACAAGCCACACGTGACCCGTGACATCAGTTCACAGACATGTCCGCAGCCAAACTTGTTCAACATTGGATTAGGACATTCCAACATCATGCACATCATGTTTGGAATATAGCTGTTTCATGTTGCCAGTTATTGAGTGCAATTCGGTGCCCCCACCTGTACAGTACCAGTGCCACTAGTGCTGCGGCCAAATTTTGTGTGAAGAAATATTATTTGCATTTTTATGTACAGTTAAAACTTCACTCAACAGAATGCGGCACTGCAGTGTAAACATTGAGGAGCTCGAATCAGTTGATGCAGTGCGCAAAATACCAACGCCACTGCTCTCAAAGATCATTACAGCAAACACTTCACTTCGAGCCCTCCTTTGTTCTAAAACTTGCCGTCCGTCGACGTCTCCAACTCTACATCCTTGAGCTCCTTCGACCTCTCGCTCAGTCAACCTGTAATCAATTTTGATGAATTAATATCACACACTACCCCTCCGTCACACATCTTACATGTTTTGAACAACTTGCTGGTTACTGTCATCCAAAAAGGCTTCCAAAGCTTTCTTGATCCTTGCTATGGTCACAAGCCTACCCCATTCTTCATGCTCTCATTCTGGCTAACACAGTCACATGCTTGGGTTGCTCAGTCCAAGTGGGCAGAATCTGGAAATTGGCACGTTGAGCTGTACAATAGTGGCCATCGCAGGACTGCTTCTGCAGCCGAGGCTGCCCTGGAAACATTCCCCAAGCTCAGTTGGGACACCTGTCTCATGGGTACCTGCCTCTCACCTGGCATAGCAGTTCAAGAGCTTCAACCCCTCCTAGCAGACAGCATGCTCAGCTCTAACATCATTGATGCAATGATACTCGGCATCTGTCGTGATCTACAAGACATATCAACCAGTGCATGCATTGAGATCCATGATCTCACTGTCTTCGAAACTCTTCGAAAGTCGCCAGATGAATGGCACAATTACCACTCGTCACGATCATTCTCAGCTTTGCGAACACTTGGGTCCCAAATCACTAGCTGCACCATCGACCGTCTGTACCTTCCACTCAACGTTCGTGGCAACTATTGGGCTTTGTTCATCATCAAGCCCATGTCTCGACACGTTCATTATGGGGACTCATTGGGCAGGCCATTCAAAGGTGATAATATCCACGCTCTACAGCATTGGCTTGGTCAACACTGCAGCAGTTCCTGGAATGTAGATCTCAACGTACCAATTGTGGTCCAGCCATATGATGACAACTTCTCCTGTGGAATTCTCATAATCAACACTATCCGTCATGACCTCTTCGAACAACCTCTTTGGACAGAGAAAACCCGAGAGCTCCTTCGGGTCACTGAATACCTGCACCTGGTTGATGATCATCTTTTGGCTCTGCAGGTATGCAACTGCCAACTTACTTGCTTCCACTATACTGATGCTAGTTACTGCATAGGTTTCACTGTTGTCAGATGTTGAGAACGACAATGAGATGCCAGAAGACACACCATCTTCCACTTCCCCACCAAAAACTTGTTCTCCAGATGCACCTAAGACTACTAGTGCATCTTCAGATACCCAAGCATCTACCAGATCTAAAGCCTCCCATGCATTGCCGGTCCTGGGCTTCCTGAAGACCTGTAGACAAGGCAAGGCGAAGCCAAGCGCAAAGAAACTTACAGGAAAGTCAAAAGGCTTCTTGGCATTCTCAGGCTTTGTAGTCAACAGTTCGGGCAATCAAGAACGTCAGCTCGAGAAGCTTGCGGAAGAGAGCAAGGAGCACGATTCAAGGTTCAGGCAACAGGTAGAAGAGATTGAAGCGAAGAAACTCGAGCATTGTCGAGAGCAAGACCGGAGATGAAAGAAGAAGCAGCGACAATGAGAGTGCCAGAATGAGATTTGCGCAGGAATCCGAGACACTGATGGAAACAAGGTGCGTTCATGAGAACAAGTGGATACCTATGTCTCACAGATGCAGCAAGCTAATTATATTCATATTGACACCAGGTGTCTTGCTTGTGGGCTGCTGAGTTACGTCCAGATACTACTCAGGAAGATGCGCCCTTGCCATCCGGTGCATCTGTCGCCGAAGCATCTCGCCCCCTCCAGGCCATTAAAGTGCAACTCATGAGAAAGGTGCAGGCATTGACCAAAAGAGCGGAGACACACATTGAGGGAGTGAACAAAGAGGAATCTGCGGACAAGTCTGCAAGGACAGTCGACTGGTACTAGTCCCTTCTGTGGGTTCACATCGAAGCTGCTGCCAAGGTTCTCGGCCCCAAGATGTCTCCACGAGAGATTACCTTGTATCTCCAGAAGCAGCATGCTGCGTTAGAGTTGTTTAAATGTCTTTGCGAGCAGGTCATCAGCCGAATGATTGACCATATGGATGATGAGAAGCATAGATGGTCCAACGAGACACTGAGCAAGGTTCATTACAGGAGGGGAGTGAGGGGCAATGTTACCCGGACTGGGATTTTGGTGAGTGCATAATTTTTCTATTGACGCTCACCTCAGAGATTAATTTCTCCACACCAGACGGTCTATCCACATGCCTACAATGCTATCATTGCAGAACTGTTATGTCTGCGTAAATGGTCCATGCGGATCACTGCCAGTGTTGCGTGAGCTGTTATCGTCACCACTCTACGAGAGTTTGCTCCCGGGGTCTTCTCTGCTAGGACCAAAACTGGCAATTTCCAATGCAGCATACCTTGGGTGAGAAGCTTTCTACATGCTCATTTTTGGTGGTCCTTGCACAGAGCTACGCACGCAGCCCAGAAAATTCCCGAGGACGCTCAGGAGCAGCGTCGTGTATTGTTCTGTTAGCACACACTTGCAATATGTGACTACAGGATTTCTGCAGAGTTGTCGGTCAATATTGACCAAGCACAAGTTGTGCTGCAAGACACATGCAAACGTACCTACGAGGTGATTGGAAGCAAGCAGGTGAAGTGTCTTGGCATTGGAGAGAAGTGCGCCTTCACTATCCTCGCTGGTGTTTCTGTGAGCAGCCAGGCCCTTCCATTTCAGGCCATCTGGAAAGGCAAAATGAAGGTGTCTTTATCACATCCATCCTCACCTAGCTATGCCGAAGCTTGGGAAATCGGGATTCGCTTCGAGACTTCCAACACAGACAACTACTGGCCTACATTCGGTACCATGTGCAGCTATGTCACAAATATCCTCGCCCCGTACTTTGCCAGCATGAAAGCGAAGCTCAATCCCCCAGCAGATCAGGAATGTATCCTGCTGCTAGATGTTTGGTCTGAGCATTGCAGCGAGCAATTTCGCGATTGGATGAAGAAGACTTATCCGTGGATAGTTTTGAGCTACATCCCTGGTGGCTGTACCAGTATCTGGCAACTCTGTGACATCGGTATTCAGCGCCTTCTGAAACTTGCAATTCACTGCGCGCAACATGAGCACGTGGTTGCGGAAGTCCAAGCTCAGCTGAAGAAGGATGTTACGCCAGAGAAGCTCAAGGTCAACACCAATCTTGCGGTATTGTGCAACTGTAGTGTACAGTGGCTCGTTTCTGCCTATCAAGCTGTTAATAACGACGCCGTGGTTAAGAAGGTGCGTACATCTGGACTGGTGCAGGTTATCTGCTAATGCGATTACTCTAAGCTTGGTCAGGTTGCCATCTGGATGCTGATTCGGATATCAACTTGTCCTACAAATCTCTCACTAGCCAGAAAGCCTGGCAGCTCCTGCTGCACGTAGAGCAGAATCAGCCGAAACTCTGGAGTGAGCTGAGACAGTCTAGGTCCAAGCACGTAGCCTCAGTCAAAGGTGATCATGAGCATGAGGAAGAGTTTCCTGATGAAACGCTGTTCTCCGACTACCCAGATCTTACGATTCCATGGTTAGTGGCCAAGCAGGTCGTCTGTGAGGGCACTGCAAGTTCTCTCCCCCCACGGTATGTGAAGCTTGGTGATGGCACAGTTACAACCCTTGATGAAGGAGCTCTTTTAAATGAAGACTGGTCAGATGCTAGTGACGAGGAATATGTTCGAGAAGATGATTCTTCTACAGATGATGAGGAGGCGTGCAGCTGGGAGGATGAGCAGACAGCTAAGAGACAGAAGTATGTGTGATTTACATGCATATATGTACCTCGTGTTCTGTTATACCACTTTAACCTCTACATACATGGCGCGAATTGTTACAGCAAAAAATCTCGGAAATTCACTCAAAATAATCGTAAGCGCCTATGTCACGGTTTGACCCTCAGTTCACGGGCCAGATGGCTCAGTGGGCAACTGCCGTTCCAGATGTCCTTTGATGTGGGTGACGCCCGTCAGAAAGCTTGGGGTTCGAGCCCCCCTTGGTAAAAGAGGTTTGCAATCTAGAGATCACCCAGAAGCTCGTTCCCACACGTGACAAGCTGGCCATATAAAAACACGTGCATATCCGGCAATGACATGCCATTTGCCTAACCGGGCCTTCCCTTAGTAAAGGAGGTTTGCATCCAGGGACCTACCCTGGAGCCCGATAGGAACATGGGACAAAGGATCTATCCAGTTAGGCAATAGCGCAAACCTGGTAGTCTGGACCATTGCCAAAGGTGGCAGGTGCATCTTTCCGGTGTACTTCCTCCCCTGCAAACACCAAACTGAGGTATATCTGGGGATTAGGACGTCGAACCCACATGGTGACTGCCGAGGGTGTAGGGACCTCAGGAATGCCAATGCCGCCCAAAAGAGTCTGAAAGGATAGACGACGATAAGAGTGGGAATTGTTATGATAACTACCCTATAAGGGCACCCACCTTTTTAGTTTCAATTCTGACCAGGCTGAAGACGTTAGTCAGTGTTGAAATATACTCTCTGATAAGTCAATTGGAGTTTTTGCTGGCAAGACAGTAACTCTGGACACATGGGGTTCTGCACCTGATGGCATCAGCGAACCATGTGCTGGAGAATGGAAAGCGCTGCCCCCGGGCTGGAGGACGAGCAAGTCTAATCAGGGAAGTGTGAGCTCCTGAACTCTATATAACCGGCTAAATGCTGGGGGTAGGCACCACATGGGCCATAGCAGACTGTGACAGTATCCCATATCTGGCTCGAGAGATCTAACTCTGCTGTTGGTTGGTTCCGGATAAGAAACTGGTTTACCAGCTTAAGTTAATACCTATAGACCAGTCTCAATTGTCCAAAGATGGGTGAGAGACTGGGCAGGCCTCGCAAGAGTGCCTCCTACTATGGCAGAGCGTCAGGATGGATGCTCGAACTAGTCATCGCTTTGCCCGATGGCCAGAGGTAGGTAGTGTATATTTATATGCTTAGCGGCTACGAACTGTGCAAGTATACTAGGAAATCTAGTAGCAGCCAGGGCCGGAGCTCTAGAGCCAGGGTTCATCACGCCGACATGGTGCCTGTGCAAGGCCAGCACCACCTGGGTGGCGTTGCAACCGAGCAGCCTAGGGTGATGGGTAACTGGTGGGGAGTACTGATATCAGACACTTAGTAGCTAGTATAGGCCTACATGTACCTCATAGTTGTACGGGCCTTTATAAACATGCAAAAAAAGGCCCTCAGTTCACATTAGTGTTGTGATGCGTGACCTCAGTTCGCCGACGTCCAGTTCATGGCCTCTGTGACCATGATGTGAACAGTTAGTCAAATCTGTACAGTATTACGCCTTGGTAACAGTACTCTGCGGCCCTTTGAGGCAGTAGACCAAAGCCTCAGGAGTGTAATAAGCACTTGCAGAGTTGAAACTCAAGTCAGGCTACCTGATCGTGTTATTGACCTTGCAAACAAGAACAGTGCAGGCCACACTCAAATTCAATTGAAATCCCATGCAGTGGATATCCCATTAGAGAACACAGTGGGTATTCCATTTTTTCGGAAATTCCACTAGTTTTGCAGTGGATATCCTGCTGCCAAAAATTCCATTTAATTGCAGTGGGTCATATTGCAGTGAGCGTTCCACTGATTACTAGTGAATCAGTGGGATTATCATTTTAGAAAAATGGGTTCACTTCCCACAGTGTATACTGCTCATCATCGCACCGGAGGACGTGCCAACAGCAAAGACGCAGTTCGGGTTGACACTCCAGTTGCTGATGGCAAAGCGAGTAGCATTGGCAATGGAGAGTGGGCTGCTACTGCTATCATGCATGAGCGTCTCATTGAAGGACTGGTGATGTGTGGGCCCGGCTTGGGCTCAAGGCCCGGGCTTGGGCTTGTGGCGATGTCGAGCTGAGCTCTGAGCCTGGCCCAAGCCGCGGGCTTGCTTACAATACAATGAATATTCTGGCGCTATCAACAGGGAGTATATTTGGATGTAGTATATTATTGCTGTGTGTACTCACTGAATTATAACCTCCAGAAAACATATACTCGTGGAGTAAGTCGAATTGCAACAAAGTCTATGAGTGCGCGTCTAAGGCAAACACTAGACAGTGATGCACCATCGTGCTCGGCGGGAACTGTCAAGTCTAGAATATTTATATTAGGTCTGGTATGCACATATCAGGTCTCTCTCTCCTTATTCTGAACTCAAGGAACAGTAACAGAGCCGGTGCACCCAAGCCTGGGCTTCCGGGCCGGGCTTAGGCTTGACTACGCTCTGAGCCCGGCCTTGAGCCCACTGCCAGGCTTGGCTCAGGCCAGGCTTTTTGGGCCGGGCTTGGCAGGCTCGCAGCCTTTGAGGCCCGGCCCGCACATCACTAGATAAATGTCAAAAATTAAAATGGGAATCAAAATCTCACGTACAGCTTCCATGCGCCTGAGGCGTTTCAGATGGTTGTCGTTACCTATGACGCAGTTCTATGGTAGGCCGTGCATAACAGAGACTTTGAGACGCTCAGCCTGGCCCAACTGGACTGGCTTAGTGTGCAGATTCTGAGTGATATTGGTGTGTCAAAGATATTGAAAATTCGTGTAATAATGTTCATCGCCTTCCAAGTAAGCTGTACTGCGTGATGCTATTACATGCATAATATCATATTCTGTCATACACCCAGCCACTTACTACAGTGATATTGTCAGTTTGTTGATTTTTCGATCATCAGAGAGAGAAAATATCGATGATTTCCTGGGTTTGCTACTAGTAGCAGAACCCCTGATAATTGGGCCAGAGGTCTATCCAGAATCTGGATGTTTTTGGCCAGATTTTGGACTCTATGCCAGATTTTGTCTGAACGTTTCAACCTCAACCCTTGCCGAGGCCGGGTGAGTGGTATGGATGTCGAACCTTCTACAAAAGTGGTCCTGATTTTTGTCCAGATGTCAGCGGGGGCAGGCGCCTGGCTGACCGACCACATGATATTATCCTATCCCACCTGAGACTTAAAAGGGCAACGCTGAGATAAGATCGACGAATAGCGTGTTTTAGGTGTTTCGATATTGCTTGTCTTACTTTGATCAGAGATGTAAACTTGTGGAATAAGAGAGATTACAATGTTAGACGCTGCATTTTGTTACAACTAATAGCTGGCTTATTGCGCGAGTGAAACTTGTGTCAGTTAACATTGCCGCCCTTGCACCCAGCATGACTGACGCCATTCAAGCCACTGACCAGTCTGGAGTGACTGGAAAGGAAGAAAATATCCTGCTGATGATGTGCCACTAATTATTCTTGCTGCCAGGCAAGCTGCTCTTGCCAAACCTGCTGCCCATGCACACTTTCTCTCTGACCCCCTCCTCCCTGTAGCAGCCCTGCTCGAAGGCAATTTCACATATACAGTCTCAGTCAGTAGTTGCACCAATATATTACTGTCTGTATCATTGTTACTAGTATCCAAAACTGTTTTTCGCTAGGTATGAAGAAGAAAATGCAGGTTTGAAAGCCTGCTGGGCGAGCTTGGGGGTGAGCAAAAATTTGCTACCTGCCCGTAGTCCGGATGTTTTGGGGTCCTCATCTGACTAGACCACCACATATTCAAATTCGCATCTGGCCTCTGCACACAGGAATTCAGACACTCGCAGGCATCCCTGTTCACACTCACAGGTGCACCCCTGCGCACACAGCAGCGTTGTGCTGGTCAGTGATTGGCCAGTGATTGGTCACTCTAATCAATGACTGGTCAATGACCGAGCCAGATATGACCGTGACTGGCCGGTTTTCTGGGTCCCACCTTGGCAGCCAACCATATCGCAGGGTGCCATTAGGCCCTGCCATTTCATTGGGGTCTGTCCCCAAGTGCTCGACCCCGGCATTTTGCTTGCATGGGATCACAAAACCACCCAGTCATTGACCCATCAGTGACCAGCTGTCAGTCAATGACCGTGACTGAGATGACTCGGTCGTTGACTGCCCAACGCTGGCACACAGACCCTGCGACAGTCCCTGCACATCTGACTAGACTGTCAACCGTCTTCACCATCCTGCTACTGGAGCGCCGCACCCACATGAGCCCCTCCTTGCATGATGCTCATCTGACTAGACCGTCGAAACCGCGTAACAGTCATTGACATATCCAATGCCATTTATGGTCTGTTGATCTGTGACTAGACCATCGTACAAGTTTCACGACCATAAATGTACAAGTACAAACATCCACACACAAGCCCTAGGTCACACCGGAGAATGTCCACACTGTCCCCTTCAGACAATACAGTATATAACTGGCAGCTTATTCCTCATTGCCCTTACTTTCCTTGCGTCCCTTTCCATCATCATGTCTTCTCGTCCTGTACATCTTCTATCTCTCGTCTTGTTGATCCTAACTTTCGACAATGACCATATATTTGCTGCATCCCTCATTTACAAACTCTGGCGTAGCCCTGCACAGGGAGGCAGATTTCATTGGACTTGTAGTCTCCTCCACAGCCCAGAGACGTTCGCATTTATTTTGGACCGTCTCCGATTCCGTGTTGGCTTCCGCCTTGTACTTATAAGGCTTGCAATCCATAAACGCACTTCACTGTTCATTTCACATGGTATTGGCTTAGTACGAAGGCGTCCGTCCTGTTTCATAATGCACACACTCCATCAGATGCTACAATTTCTCACCTATCTCAACTCCTCCTGCTCTTCACCCTCTCACTTCTTCAGCCGCCTTATCACGGAGTCCCTTAGCACAAGGCACTCCTCATTGTTGATCATTCCCATCCTGGCTGTTCCTAACTCATGCATCCTCATCTTACGGTGCACTACTACCCTGCGTAACCTTTGCATCTGTTTCGCGGTGAAGGAGCGACGTATGAGAGCCTTTATCTATCTCATCAACCTGTCTGATTATGTCTAGTATATGGTCCAAATCAAGTGTATCTGGTACTGCATATGTATCGACACATGCTCGTTGTCAAGTTCCATGTCACGGTTTCCATCGGCATTGTCAAAGTCCTGCTCAAGTGGGCCAACATCACCTAATTCATGCCTGAGCCACGAGGTACCATCGTTACAGGGTTACACGACCTCCGTGGTGGTATGCTAATACTGTCCATCACCCTGTAGTGTAAATGGACTTTGGGCGTGCTGTGGTGTGGATGGACTCACAACTATCTTCAATGTACCGCATTTTAAATTTGCTCTATCTACATTATTCCTTTTCTTGGTCTATTGTGCAATGCATAGGGCCACATGGCTGCAAGGGGGAATCAGAGTTGTGCAAAGCCAATACATACAAGTCAGCAAGGTATAGCCCAATCTTGCATTGCCAGCATGAGTGCGCGGTGTCACGTGGGGTGGCAGCAGTGGCATCAGCCCTGCTTCTTGCGTGATGTTGACAGTCTTCATCATGGTCCTGCACACCTGGCCCACCCAGGGAGCTCAAGCACCTTTACAGTTTTATTACTATTATTATTATTATTACTGGCATCTGGACTCGGTAGGTCCCGTGGTCCATGGCGACTCTTGCAAAATTGCATCGCGGTCCGTGGTGTCTCCCTGCTGCCTGCGTCTCCCCTTCAAATTTGAAAAGCTAGAGACACCCAGCACTCAACTGCGTTGTCCGAGTTCATGATGAAAGTCTGGAAGGCTGACGTTAATTACATGAGTTATACAGGGCATATGTGGCTTATCTTCGTAGTGCAGCCACGACTGATGCTCCGTTTGTAAACCTGCAATGGCGCTGCTTCCTCCACCAGCCAAACCACCCATCTGTACCATATGCAGCTCTTAGTCTTGCTACCTGCAACCGAGACGGCCGAGACAGCATTTTCCCCTCAGTTGGCTTCTCGGACTCCTTATCCAAAGAGCACAACAGAGGCTGTAGGGCGCACCATAGGTGGTTCGTCGAAGTAAACAAGGGCAATGTTGAATCGGAGCGAACGACATTGAATAACATCGACATCGGCACCTTAGCACAGCAGATTATGGTCGCCTGCTCTTGGTGCTCTGGCTGACTACAGGCGTACAGCACAAAGGACTTGGGCAGTGTTTGCCAGGCAGGTCAAACACTTCCTCAGCTGTAGAGCCAAGGGGGCTAGAGCCTAGAGCTGCTAGAGGTGTTGCGCTCAAAGAGAGAAGAAAAGAAAAGAAAAAGAAGAACATTGTGCAGAAGATTTACGCAGCTCTCGCTCCTCAGGCGCCGCGGCATTGACTGTCTGTCTGGGTGCCGGTGTTGTGGGCGGACCGCTATGCTGTTCCTGACATGGCTGTTCGTTCCGCATTCCCAGTCTTAGTTGCACCAGACAGCCAGCTGAAATGGTCTGAGAGCAGAAGAAACTGCATTCCTGTGGCATATATTTCCACCTAGAGAAGAAGGCCGCACTTGAAGAATGAGCAATCCTGAGCAATAGTCCGGGAAATACAGCTATGGTACTCCATTGAACTTAGTTGTCCCGAGCAATGCAGCTGATGATGGTTTTAAGCGGCAGCAGGTATTCAGCATACCTCTGCAGTGATGAGGACCCGTTCTTGAGCTTGTCACAGCGAGAACTGACTTCATGAGCCATCATAAATGACGCACAGCCAGTGGGCTGCGAAGGCGATGCATTGCAGGATGTTAGGAGCTTGAAAAGGGAGGAGACAATGGGGCTTCACAGCAACAGACAGAAAAACACAGTCGGAAGGGATGACGAGGGCTATCCTTGCAGATGAGAAACTGGGGTTGATACACTGGGAGTAGATGATGGTGACAAGTAAAATGAAGGGCAGGGGCTCTAAGAACTCTGGATTGTCAAGAACCAGCGCGAGAATTGACATGCATGAGTGCAGGACCGATGGGGAATATCCGGCAGAGTGATGATGGGGTCAGGAAATGCTATTGGGAGATGAGAATTGAGCAGTGTCATTACGAACATGACAATTGACAGTACTCACCGCATCCACATAGATAAGCTCCAAACTCTCCAAAGATGTCATGCTGCTTTGCTTTCTTTGTGCAATAATGTCCGGACTCAATCTTCGCATGAAGAGATATCAGCAGACAATCCTTGCTACATGGAAAGGTGATGCACCTTGCAACATCCCAGCAGACAGACGATGGGGAGTAAGGAAAGAAAGAGGACGCCGAGGAGGTGGGCTCAAGTCACACTGGGTCGCCCCAGAATGAGTCAACTGCAATCTTAGACTGGCCAGATGCAAGGAGCGTGGAAGAAAGCATGTCAAAGGCGAGAATCGAGTGATGGGCCAGGATTGGGCACAGAGAAGAGGATTCAGAGAAGACAGAACTGGCAATGACATGACAGAGAAGGCATGTGTGACATCACACATTAGTGTTGCACCTGTCACTCCTTGTCACCATGCTTTAGGTTGTTACGTCGCACTCTGGGTTTGCTGACTTTGCTCAGTGCTTACTCCTGCCCATGGCCTCCACGTATACACCCAACATCGACCACAGACCCATCCCTCGCAAGGTCCTCAAAGCATCTTGCCGATATAGCGCACGAGACATCTCCGGCCAAAGCGGCGTCGCCCGAGCATTCAAGGTCGCCACCTCAAGAGCCCCCACTAGACGAAGCACGCCTCCTGTTTACTGGTATGCCGGCCTCCTGCGTGATATAGCCTACATTATACAATCATGGCATATATCTGTAGTTATAGGATGTCCCACAACTTCGACCTAGACCATCTAGCAGAAGACTCGTATCTTTCAGGCAGAGCAAGACTCAAACGCTGCCAGCTTCCACAGTCAAAGGGACCGTAAGCAGGTACAACCGATTGATGTCAGACTAGCCATAATGATTTGCTTATGCCGTTCTGGTAGTGAATATGCTCGAAGACTGCTCCACAGAATGCGAGTATGATGACCCCCCGGCTACCTGGCTTGCCCTTGGTTTGCCCAGTATGAACTCTTCACATAGTCCCTTGATATCACTCTCATTGTCCATGTCTATTTCAACTGACATGGGCGAAGTCACATTCTGGAGGCCAAGCACGTGAGATGATAGAGGCAGCAGTTTTTCGGTTCTTTGACTGGAGGTTTGCAAGAGTGGGAAGTGAAGAAGGGGTTGCGCAGTAAGTGACCTATCAATGTCTAATGGTGTTCCATCTCTTACACGCGTGTGGCATAGTTGTTTTGTAAACTACACACTTCAATCGTCTAAGGGTACCCCGGTCAACACTTTGAGCCACTACAGAAGGCTTTGCTCGCAAGCCTGACGCAGACACCATTCGTCACAACGCCGCGGTTCAAGTGTGGTTCAAGTGCAATTCAACAGGCCACACATTTCGCCGTGCGTCCCGTACTCCAAGACATCAGCACACCACAATGGTCACAGGATGCAGCCACAAAACAACAACTCAAAAATTCTCAGAGACTGAGTGCAGACGTTGCCTTGAAAATCTCGGCCGTATTGTAAGATGAACCTGAGCCATGGCCAGCAGTCAACTTTGGTATGGCCCATTTGTTTCGTTCATGCGCATTGCACGATTTACTCACGGATGATGGGACTGTAGGGGAAGCGGACCAAGACTTACTTGTTCAGAATGTAGACTGCAAGATGAGGGACTCAACCAGTGGAAGTATGCGCAGTGGGCAGATTTGGCAGACTTAACCTCGCCGACCGCTAAGGTGGCTCCAGCGCTCAGGCTCGCACTGGGGAAGATAGATATCATGTGCTCCTGGTGCCTTGTATGCGTCTTCAACTTGCAATGACTTGTGCACACCCACGTTTTGAGCGGCACGATGGTGGAACAGCAGAGGAGCTCCTAATCAAGGAGTGCTGGCGGGCGTTCTGGTCCTAGAAGAAAGTGTACACGATGGAGGTGGAGGAGGTGTATGATAGGCTGTACAGCACAACGAAGTGACCTTTGTTGGCTGTCGCTCGACAAGTATGTTGCTTGCCATGACCTGCTGCACCTGCATGCTGGCTAGGTATACCTCTTTTCACTTTCATTGCGCCACCTTGTGCTTAATTGAGCTTCTCATGGCCCTTCTCAGAGAGCAGTGCATGGCATAGCCTCAATCTGTTGGCAACAGAGCCGGTGCTGAACTGGTGGAGATCGTTGATACGAAGGTGCGTGGAAGTTACCTGTACCTGTGTTGTTCATTGACTGACTCTTGTTACAGACGCGGTCCTGGACAATCCTGCACAGAAGGGTCCACCCGAAAAAAGATTTACAGCTGCAGTTGCATGTTCATGAATGGCACGGCCTTGGACGTTATTGATGACATGCTCAGATGGGTCCGCAGCTGCACGCAGCTTAAGGGCGCAGCTCTGGTCGAATGGTCGACGATGCGTCTGTGGCACTGGAGCACAAACAGGGACGACCCGGGGCAATATGCAGATGTGCAAATCACAACGGAAGGTTCAGCTTGCGACGGAGATCGAGGTTGAGGCGCTAGACATGGCACCACGGCTACCTTCTTGACTATATCAAGAGTGTAACTTACTCATGTACCAAGGGCAAACAGTAATCTAGAAGCATCTCTGCTCCTGGTGAGCGCTACTGATGCATGTATGTTTTGTGCCATCATTGTGCAACATGACGCCTCTCTCGCATCGCTGTACTGCCGGCCGATCCTCTTGTCACTCACTGCTGCACAATGGCCTAACAGCATGTCTGCGCTCGGTGAGACCTACGCCTTATAGGTCGGGGACCTGCGCGTCAACTTGGTATGTGACGCACTGCTCGCTTTGCCGGCCGATAGCTGAAGTAGTCCTCCCATGGTCAGAAGCAAGACATTACTGTGTTTGGCTTCTTTAACATCGTGCCACCGAGAATCATCTTCCACTCTGAGAACTTCCAGCTTAAGACTGTCATTGTGCTCTGTGCATGCAGCAGTCAGATAAGCATTACTTTCTTCAATCAGGCGAAAGCTGCTGCCCCCACGAAGCGCCCGCTCTAAGTACCAGCTACACAATGGAGAACCTGCTTTGCGATCAGCACGGCCAAGTACACTTTCCAGGTGGCCAGGTCACTCTTTGTTGCTGCACCTCTGACAAGCTCGGTGCATCCTTGTTTATCTGCTCTCTGGCATTCATTTTGCCCTGTGCACTGAGTATTTTTCTGGTGATACGCTGTGTCTACCTGGCACAAAAGCAAGTCAGACCGAGTATCCAAATCAAGGATGGCTGCATTTTTGGGTGTGTTATTCAATGCACGTAACTGTATTTTGTACAATTTCTGACCACATATTTTGTCAGGACTGCTATGTCCGACCTTCACCATGGTTCTGCGACCTGCCACAGCTCTCGGTACTTGTTTCTTCAGCCTAGGCGCTCCATTCATAAAACTTCTAGCATTGAGATCACTGAGCAGCAAACATGACAAGATCTGTGCGCATTGTCCCATCATGTATGATGCTCAGCGCAGGTCTTCAGGCAGTGTGGCAGTAAACGTTGCAAGGATGCAGTAGCTGCGAATCATCGACCGGCAGCGAATGGTGCCTCCCTGAAACAAAGCTCCGAGAATGCATTGCCACAAAAATCTGTGCACGGCTTTGGACCATGCGGATCTGACAGTGCCAGGTGCGCGTGTGCTCCAAACCTGCAATATATAAATAATATTATTGACGAGACCATGCAACTAGGCCCTTGTACCTCAGTAGTACGCTCTACAACACTACCCCAGAAGGACTTGGACCTCTCCGCCTCTCGTCTGGCCACAGCAACCCAGCTGCTCAGCAATATGTGTGCAAATTGCTGCTCTGTCGAGGGTGCTGGCATTGGTATCCAGATCCACAGTCTGTAGCCATGGCTCAAAGCCGTCATGCCTCAGCACTTGCAGCACTGGTAATAGTTATCTTAACTTTATTACTAATTTCAAATCGCTTCAGAGTTGTGTTCACAGGATGCAAGCGGTGCTGCACCATTTGGGGAAAGTAAAGTGCTAGTAATGATGCATGCTCCTTACAAAGCTGTTCAGCTCTGATGTCAACACCACCAACCACTCACAGGATAATGTGGTCATCATCTGATATATCAATGGAGAGACATCCTATTACCTTAGCAGCTATCACTGAAACCAACATGCAACGTGCCCATCCAATACAAACCTTTGACATGTTACACAATTGTATCGCATGATATGAAATGCTGCTTACACTCTGTAGGTATATATACATTTGAGCTTCACAACAACCGCTTTGCTTATGAGGATTGAAAAGGGGCACGTTGCATGGTGAAAGATATTGCAAGTAAGGTGCAACACTAGTTGAGAAACTGGTTCACCCTATCTGGTGTGTGAGTAAATGGTTAACATATGCGAATAGGTACCTCAGCCCTGTTACCAACCTCATATCTCTTTAGAATCATGTTCCCAGGATGCCAGCATAGTGCTGTAGCATTTGGAAAAGTGAAGTGCTAATAATGATGCACAGTTGGCCTATGCCAATCATCTATTGCCAAAAAGGAGCTTCGTTAACAGTAACACCTTGGGTTGACATGGTACTAGTGCCATAAAGTGCTTGTCAGCGATTTAGCTTTGTGCACCCCACTTAATACCCCTACCGATTGTCTGCCAGTGGTTCATGAGGCACAACACAAACCTTTACTTATATTGAGGCTTTACTCTTGGGTTCAGCAGACAGATTCTCCTTCTCTTGTGTGTAGACCCAAGCTCAGAAGGTGTGAGTTCAGTGTCAGATGCTGCCAGGCTGGCATTTTCTTCTTGAGCTGTTGGTTCACTGCCATCTCTCTTGCATTTTACAGCAGCTGAAATGATAACCATATCAGAGCTGCTTGACAGACTGAGATGAGCTTCCTTTGTGCATATGGTAAATGTCATTCAATAAGTTGCTGCAGAGAGATTCAATGTTCACCTGTCCTTTGGAATGGGGCTGGCTGCCTCTTAACTAAAGACTTGGGCATCTTGCACACTTTTCTCACCCTTTCCGATGCAGATCCGTTGCCAGAGATGGATGCCTTTGCTGTGAAAGCTAACCTCCTTTTCTTGGCCTTGACCTGCTTCCAAGCCTTCACCAAATCATCAGTAACATCTGCTTTATTAACCAGGGTGCCACTTACAACATAACTTTGGGTGGCACCTGCACTTTAACAGATCAGCAGCTGCAGTTTGGAGAAATAAATAATTTACCCTGTCTAGAATCTGTCAGTGATCCACGGAGCACAAGACAGTCTAGAGGTTGTGATGGTTGGTGAAGCTTCACAAACAAACCTCTTCAAACTAGCTGAATATGACAACATGGCTCTGGATGGCACCTATACTTTAAAGGTTCAGTAGCTGCAGTTTGGAGAAACAGATGTTTGACCCTTTCTAGAATGCATAGCACTGCAACTCAGACAAGTTAAACACTAATATCAACACCCTTTATAGTGGTTCAATGCCGG